TTACATCACAAAAAACATATTCCATGACCAAAAAATTGGTAGCTAAATAAATGAACTCTTGAGAGGAGCATTTTGCTAGCACCATATTACATATCTATGATTTTTTTGTGTTCTTCAATATATAATGCATATTTGAATAAATCCGTCAAGTTGACAGCCACCATTTCAATGTTTATGTTTCAAAAGACAAGTTGGGGGGAAACAATGAAATTTTAGTAGGCCTATTATAACTTTATTATAAAAACTACCTTGAGTGTAATTTAATTGTTTGTATACAAATCAGTTACCATAACTGCCAACTGACTCCGATGTATAGTTTACAGCATTAGTTGAGAGATATTTTTTTCTTTTAGAAAATTTGCTATGTACTGTATGTGATGTATATCCAAAGTAATTGATATTGAATCTGATCGAAATCTGAATCGAAATCAAATTTGATCATGAAATTTGTGTCAATACCTAGCCCTACTGTTTTGTTCTTTGTTCAAGGGTTAAAAAATGTCTAAAACACCTGCGCAACGGTGTCTTTCTGCACTTTCTGAAACAGGTTTTTCTGCACTTCAGTGTATTCATGTTTCTTGCTCATGTCTAACTTTGGACTGAATGAAGTAATGAACCTGAAAAGATTTCAGTGTCAACATTTGAATGTATTTAACAGCCGGTGCAAAGTTTTCTGAAAAGCTTGTGCTTGCAAACCCCAAAACAAACTCAGATTTTGTTCAAAATACATAGTTTAAAATTTGAGGTCTGAATAACTTTGCTTTCTCATCTCGTTTTAACCATAATCTTGCTGAACATATAATCTATATAATATATGCTGGTTAATAAACAGCAAATATGTTTTGATTGTTGTGTAAGGACAGAACAAGGAGTGTGGAAATTTTGTGACATTATGTAAATGCATAAACAGAAATACATGGAGTATTTCTCTCTGAAATGTTTTGAGCACACAATGTGACAGTTTCACAGTGCAAAAACATTACATTTTATGAATGGTACTTAAATAAGACGTTTGTAAATCCTGTAGATCTTGCTTCCTATCAGAAATCTATAAACTGTCCTTGCCTCTAGCTCTCCCACAGAAAAAGTAACAAACGTCGAGCGCGCCTGTCCAGATAAGGTTTAAGTTTGTAAGCCCTACACCTTCATGAATCATGGATCTGCTGGAGAGCTGAAGAGTGTGATGGCCATCAGCCAGCGGTAGATCTCTCACACACACTCGCTCACGTCTGCTTCGGCAGGTGTTCAGCCTGGCTCGCTGCATTCCTCCAGGTGACTGATCCTCTGAGCCTTTCATATGAGATAAGCCAGAAACTAATAACCCACAGGCATGTTCTGTTGGCTTCACACTCACGTGAGGAATTTATGCAAAAATACTTTCATATTCAGCACTGACAGCTGGTCGGCAAATATTTTGTGTCTAAATGAAGGGGTTATGAAGCAAAGCACCATGGTGGATAATATACATTGTGGTCAATATATAAATATACAAATTATGTTATCAGCATAATAAGTAAAAAAAGTTTAATAATCAAGTCACCTTTATTTATGTAGTGCTTTATGCAATACAGATTGTTTCAAACACAAAGCAAATTTACAGGGAGAACAGGGAAATAAGAATTCGGTAATTCAAACGGAGATCAATTCAGCTGTAAAGCAGCTCTAACTGTGCGTTCACACCGGACGTGAATAGCGCGTCAAATTCACGTCTACTGCGTCTAGTTTGACGCTTGAATATTTCGTGTTAATTTGCACGTCAAGAGTGAAACCTCCAAACGGGTTTCGATGTTGACGCGTGTAAATTTCGCCTCAGACTTTTGTTTTTACGTGCGTCAGCATCGAAACCCGTTTGGCGGCCATCTTTTTATGTTGAACGAGCATTCATCGAGAGATTCACTGCACTGTTTTTGCTCTGGAGAGCAGAACAGCGGCATGGGGATCATCATCGCCGCATTTGTGTCCACAGGACCCTTCGGAGGTGAACCGTTTGGCGAGTTTCACCATTTGCTTGCTCCAGGAGCTGCACCTGGATGACGGCCGCTGTCAGTGGTACTTCCGCTTGTCCTGCGCCGAGTTTGATGACCTGTTGTCCGCATCGGAATGAGGATCACCCTTGCCCTCATCCATCTAATCTGTAATTTATTTTGTTTTGATAAATAGAGCCAGCCTCCCAAAGTTATTAACCTGTCCTGTGATTCCAGACACAAATGCACATATGTTGGTATTCTTTACATCATAATAATATTTCATATAATCTATGGAATAAATAAATACAAAATGAACATGTCTCGTATATTGAAATAAAGTTTTAAGTGATAAAATATTTGCTTTGTTGTGCATTAGAACCACGCAGGCATTTAGTCATATTACAAATTAATTTATTGAAGCATCCAGATACTTCACCACCTGATTGGTTAACGCGGCGCGAATTGACGCCTAAGTTCAGATTTTTCAACTCGGGCGGCAGGTGTGAATTCGCGTCAAATGCATCATGCACAAATAGCACTAACTAAATCATTCATGCTTAATGCGCCAGACACGCCATTCACGCGAATTTGACGCGTGAATGAGGCGTATTCGCGTCTACCGCGGTGCGCTTTACGCCTCATTCGCGCCGCAGGAATTTTTTCACACGCATAACACGCCTTTGCATTGACTTAACATTAACAGTTCAATAACTGTAAAAATCATCAATTATGAAACGGTTCAGCTGCAGCTCTGCAGAAAACAGCTCAGTTCACCTCTCATACAACAGTGTCAGTGCAGTTGGATCAATAATACTGTTGAATATTAAAGGGTTAGTTTATCCAAAAATGAAAATTGTCATTATTAATGACTCATTGTCCTTAATGACCCTCATGTCGTTCCAGGCCCGTAAGACCTCCGTTCATCTTTGGAACACAGTTTAAGATATTTTAGATTTAGTCCAAGAGTGTTCTGTCCTTCCATTGAATAGTATGTACGGTATACTGTCCTTGTCCAGAAAGGAAATAAAGACATCATTAAAGTAGTCCATGTGACATCAGTGGGTTTGTTAGAATGTTTTGAAGTGCCGAAAATACATTTTGGTCCAAAAATGACAACTTTATTCAGCATTGTACTCTCTTCCGGTTCTGTTGTCAATCCGCGTTCACGACACTTAT